CGGAACGAATAACTCCAGGTCATCGAACAGCTTGGACAATTGTTTCTTTGCCAGCATTTTTGAAATGAATAAAAAATATTGTACAATTGTCAATTTCATATGTCTGTGTGAAACAGAAATATGATATTTATTCGATCGGATATCCAGCGGACTTTACAGCATTTACGAATGCAAACGACAACAGATCGTTGAAAATGCTAAACACGAACGCATTCAGATTTCCTTCGGGGAGGTCGAGTTGATCAATTTTACGTTTGATATCGTTCAACGTCCGATCGAGGAGGTATTTGAGCAGGTCATCTGTCTCTTCTTCCGTTGTCTCCGATTCAATGTCGTCTTTATTCCTCGTGTAGTGTTTCTTCTCGACCGCATCGTATCGATAATATGTACGAACGAGTGACCGAAATGATAGAATGGAACGAATGACTTCCATATTGAGAGCCTTCATTTTGCATCCGAGACATTGGGAACAGTCAGCGGGTTGTTGAGTTTGAGGAACACGATTTCGGGTACGACGAATGGCCATGATTTTTGAAAATAGTTGAAAACAATTTAAATTGATATCAATTTTCGATTCGCCAAAATTGATTTTTTATTCGCGCGCGTAAAACCCCGGAGCCTGGAAACAAAGTTCATAAAAGTTTTCCACCCACACACAAAAATGTCATACACTGATCCAAAGTTCGGATTTATTGGACAAACCGCCTTCAATCGAAAGCTGAAAGAGAATGGACTTCCGCCACAAGATTTAACAACCGAAGATTCATACACGTATCTGAGACCGAATACATTCAAGTTCCCACGCCGGCCGACGATCACTCGCGGATTGGATTACTTGTGGCAAGCGGATTTGGCGGACATGAATTTCCAAATCAAACATAACAAAGGGTATCGCTACATCCTCGTGATTATCGATACCTTTTCCAAATTTTTATGGACTATCCCGTTGAAAACGAAAGGTGCCGAAGAAGTCTCGCGAGCATTTGCCTCGGTCCTCACCGACAATCGTCACCCCTCCCTCCTCCAAACGGATCAAGGGACAGAGTTTTTCAATAATCCAATGACTAAATTAATGGAAAAGTACAACATCACCCATTATCACTCGAATAGTGATACGAAGGCATCGATGGCGGAACGCGTTATTCTCACGATGAAAATGCGATGGACACGATACAGCCGTCACAATAACACGTTCGATTGGGTCTCAGTGTTGCCGGATTTAACGGAAAATTACAACACGACTCGACATTCCACCATCAAAATGACCCCGACACAAGCGCGCAATCCGGAAAACGAATCAAAAATCCAGGAAACCCTCCAAGCGCAGTGGAATAAAATCCCACAACAAAGCGCGAAATTTAAGGTCGGTGATTATGTCAAGATGAGTATTAAACGTGATCCGTTTGCGAATACATCGAAAGTCGTGAAATGGACGGAAGAAACCTTTATTGTGGTCGGAATCAATCCGACCACTCCCGTCACATACAAAATCCAAGATCTGGCGGGAGAAGATATCGATTCCCCAATTTACAATCAGGAATTACAGAAAGTGTCGAAACCATCGGATACCGCAATAATCGAGGAAATTCTCCAAACGAAAACCGTTCGCGGTAAAAAGAAGCACTTGGTCAAGTGGCGTGGGCGTCCGGCGAAATTTAACTCGTGGGTGGATGATGCGGATATCCAAAATTTGTAAAGTTTGATATCAAAATTGAAATTGGTTTAAATACATTACACCAATTTATAAAATGGAGTTCAGTATCAACGATCTCATCCCGTCCAAGGAGTATATAGAAGAGAAATTCGCCTCGGCGGAAACCAAAGTGGTCCAGGATCACAACGGCGATGAAGTTACCGTCGTTCAGTTCAAGACCCCATTCCGCTACGTTTTTCATAATCTTGACTCGGGGAAATACTATTTCGCTAACTGGTTCGCTCGTGAGGATTTACTCTTTCACAAACCGATTGATATAGAATCACGGACCCTTTTTCCGTTACTGGACGTTTTAGAAAAGGTTCTGAAGCTCGAATCATGGAAAATTGAAAG